TGTGTGTGTGTGTGTGTGTGTGTGTGTGTGTGTGTGTGTGTGTGTGTGTGTGTGTGTCAGAGTCCTTGGAAAGAAAAATAAAGGACAGGAAAACAAAGTGCGTTTACATGTGTGATTTTTTCATTCGACGCCTCACATATTCTTCTTTCCCTTCCCTTAACCACCTACTCTTCCAACCCCCAATCTCTCTGACATTTTGCAACTTTTTCTACAAAAAAACAAAAGAAAAAAAAAAGAAGAAAAGATAAATCGACTCAATTTTTTATATTAAAATATTCTGTGAAACTGTTCCATTAGTTATAAAATAAAATAAAATAAAATAAAATGAAATGGGGAAAAAAAAGGAAAAAAAATCAAGCATTTAAATATTAACAATTTGATGAATACGAATACGAGCGTTCCAATTTCCTACGAGTCCCTTTTAGTTTATTTGTATAATAATTTTAGAAGATGGATATTTTTTATATAATCATATATATATAATAAGTGGAAAGGTCAAATTGAAGTAGAAACACAAGATTGATTCGTCTAAAATATAAAGTTTTTATTATTAACAACGTAACAAATTCACTTATCCTAACGTATATGTGTCCTACTTACCTAAAATATAGAGAATCAACAATTTAATGTTTATGCCTTTCTATATTTATTGTTTTATATTATTTCCTAAATTCTTTTTAAGAAGGTGTATCGCAATCAGCTGCTAGAAATAAACCCTTCTATCTATTTAGTCTATCTATCTCTTCTGCTGTGATATTCTACTCTCTCCTTTCAAACCACTCATCCGTTAAGTCGACCTCTCAAGTACCTATAACCGTAGATATATAAACGTACAAATATATTACTATATATTAATAGTAATGTAATAATAATAAAAATATAATAAATAATAATATTAATAATAATAATAAACAATACAAACAAAGACTCAAAAAATACCTAAAATCAAACTAAATTCAAAAAATCTAGTCAAAGCAAAAAACACATACGCAATATCAGTCCTTACATATTCCTTCGGAATCATCAGTTGGTCAAACACAGACTTAGATGACACCAATAGAATAACGAGAACACACCTGACAAAATCACTAAACTACACCCAAAATCATGTGTAGAGAGATTAACAATAAGTAGAGAAGAAGGTGGAAGGGGAATAACGGACATAAAAGCGTTACACAATAGACAAATAAAAACAACTCCGCAAATACTTCCACACAAAAGAAACACAACTACATGAAGCAGTAACGAAAGTCGACAAAAATTACACACCACTAAACCTTTCGACAAGCAACACAGACATAGATAACTATAACGACATAGACCATACACAATACGCAAAATAAACGCATAGGCCACAAAACAATTACACGGAAAACACTACTACACCACGAAAGACGAAAATATAAACAAAAACGACACATACAAATGGCTAAAAAAAGGAAACCTCTTCCCAGAAACCGAAAGATTCCTAATCGCAATCCAAGATCAGGTAATCTCAACAAAAAACTACCTCAAATACATAATAAAAGATATAACATACAAGATGATAAATGCCGGAAATGTAAATTAGTAGCCGAAACAATAGAACATATAACAGGGGGTTGTAAAATACTAGCAAACACCGAATACACGGAAAGACACAACACGGCAGCAAAAATCATACATAAAGCAATAGTGAACAAATACAAACTGGAGATACCATACTACAAATACACACCAACAACAATAATAGATAGCGAAAAGTACAAACTGTACTGGGACACAACATTACACACAGACAAAACAGTAAAATACAATAGACCTGACATCACATTTAAAAACAAAGAAGACAAGACAACATACCTAATAGACATCTCAGTACCAAACGACATCAACATCACACAGAAATCCAGAGAAAAAATAGAAAAATACACACCACTTGCACAAGAAATACACAGAATATGGAAACAAAAAAAGGTACACATAATCCCTTTCATCATATCTGCAACAGGTATTAGACCGAATAATTTTAAACCACATCTCACACAACTACAACTAGACCCAAATATACACCAAGAAATACAAAAGGCGGTTATTTTAAAAACATGCAACATAACCTGCAAATTTTACCCGAGATCTTCCTAAATTCAGAAGATTAAAGCTGTCAGACCTGGCAAGAGTCCTGTCTAATATGCTAATATGCCCGAGAAATGGGAGAGAAATAATAAAATAAAATAATAATAATAATAATAATAATAATAATAATAATAATAATAATAATAATAATAATAATAATAATAATAATAAAATAATAATAATAATAATAAAATAATAATAATAATAATAAAATAATAATAATAATAATAATAATAATAATAATAATAATAATAATAATAGTTAATAATATTTACTAGTAATAAATTATTATTTATTATTATTATATATATTTTGTATAGTTATATTTTTTATAATCTTTATCTCTATAAAATTCCCCTGTCACAGTGTTTGTTATTCTTATTCTTCGAAACGACTTGACCGATTTATATGAAATTTTTTGTGTATATTCGGTAGGTATGAGAATAGTTTTTCTTATATTTCTTATACCCCTGAGTGATAAGGGTGACCCACCATAATTATTTTTCCTTTAAAAGGATATTAAGAAAAAAGAGAAAAAAAAGACAAATGTTATGTGCGTATATTCAGACAATGTAAAATTATATGATGTGAAGTAAGTGGTGAT